GATTCACTTCACGCATTCCACAGAACCCTACTATGGATATAATCGCGCCTTTCACTTTTCTGAGAGGTTGCGTGATATTGTTCCCCTTGAGGCGACCTTAACACATGAAGAGTACGTTGAAATAACGCGTCCTTTGCGGGTTCGCTGCGTAGAATGCCTGAACAAGCTGTTTGAACACACTGGAATTCATGTTAAGGATATTGACCATGTGCTGCTCGTCGGTGCCATGACGCGGGATCCTCCTGTTCGACGCATGCTGTCGGAGTATTTTGGATGTCCTGTTTCCGCAGAGGATACCTGTCCGGCAGATTACGCCGTGGCTATTGGCGCCGCCATTCGTGGAGCAATGTTACAAGACAAGTTTCATGATTTATCGGCGAACACACGGTTTTTAAGCGGCACAGCACAGGCAATGCGGCATGGCGGAACTGTCCGTCGTATTTGGAATCGAATGAACGCATGGATTACACGGTCTGTGAATCCCAATGCGATTGGCCAGCGTTGGCGTGGTCGTGCAAAGGGTCTGAGTGATGAAGACATTGCCAACTATGCGAAGGAACTGGTGGAGTTTGAGAGTGCATGTCATCGCCGTTTGTTACTGGAGCGAGCGGAGAACGATGCCAACTTTGTTATGCGCCGTGTGACGGCAGATTCTAACAAACGGCAGGGAATGCAAGAGAAGCGTGTAAGGCAGTTGAGTGAGCAGCTCAAGTTCTGGCAGTACATGGTGCACAACTTTCACGATCACGAGGAGGAGCTGCAACGTACCGTGAGAGAGTTGGAGCAGACGCTGGATGAGCTGGAGGGCAATGCGGAAGACAACGTCTCCGCACTCACGACTGAAGGGACGGTCAACTTTGCCAAGGCGATCCCCGTCAATCATTGCGGTGAGGAGGATAACGCGAAAAGTACGCCAGGTTCTAATCCAGCAGAATCAATAGCAAAAACGGAAACGCCAAAGGCAACATCAACATTAGAGCCAGACAAGGCAAAAAACGATCATGGAGGACAGAAGGCAAAGCCAAAAGGTCCCAAAATTATACGACGTCCCGTTCCGCTACCAAAGACAAGTGCCGAGGCCCAGGAACTTGTAGAAGCGGGTCATCCCGTTTTGCGTGGTGCGGATGTCGTCATGACAGAGTCCACTCGCAGCTACTTTTTTGAGGCACAGGTGGAGGAACGTGCGTGGCGAGAGCCGCCGACACCACCAGGCGAAGAAGGCTCCTGGCAAGAAGTAAAGCGTGCAGTTGAGGCTGGTGAGGCGGTGGGAAGTCCTATTTCCCCACAAGAAATGCAGCGGCCCATGACTCATGAAGAGATGTTGGAGGTGATACTAGCAATGGCGCCGATTGACGATCCAATAAGTGAGGATCACGCGAAAAGGCGTGACCTTGCACTTGATTTGCAGACCATGACAGTTGTGAAGGGTATGGTGGACATGGAAGAACTGGAGACTCAATTGAATGAGAATGCCAAGGCACAAGAGCAGTGTCAGAGGACACAGAAGAGAGCGGAGATGAGTACTCCAGCCGATACCTCGGCCAGCCTCTTTAGAGGGGACCGAAGTGTGTCCATGTAGTTTATTATTATTATTATCTTGTTTGGTGTGCAAGTGGGGAGGTAGGGGAGGGGGAATGCCAGTAGAGCATCCGTCTGGATGCCACCTACCGTATATTTTTTTTATTATCGTTATTGCCATGGACAATCACATCAACTTTACTGTTTTGCCAACAACAACGAGAAGAAAGACAATATGAACCGGATTTTGTTTGCGTTTGACCATCATGATTTTTTAAACACGTAGCTCCCGATTCACATCTGTTATTTAACTCACATGCATGCGCATTGTAGTTGTATGCGTTTTAATATATATATATGCATTTTCACGTTGTCATGCCATTTTCCTTTTTAAAATTACATTTCATAGGGCTAGCCGCCATGACTGCTGAGAAGAGCCACACGCACAAGCAGGTGCAGACCTTCGGCAAGAAGAAGACGGCTATTGCTGTCGCTACGGTGACTAAGGCTGCGCAATGCAATATTCGCGTGAACGGCGTTCCTGTTTCCCAGATTCTCCCGGAGACGCTCCGTGCGAAGATTATGGAGGCCGTCAATGTGGTCGGTTCCCGCCACTTTGCTCGCCTGCGCATCGATGTAACAGTCCGTGGTGCTGGCCAGGTTGCCCAGGCCTATGCCACTCGCCAGGCCATCGCTAAGGGCCTCGTTGCGTACTACCAGAAGTACAAGAACGAGGTGGAGAAGGCTGCACTGAAGGACAAGTATCTTGCGTACGACAAGTATCTTCTCATTGCCGACCCACGCCGCTGCGAGCCAAAGAAATGGGGCCGTCACTCTGCCCGTACCCGCTTCACGAAGTCATACCGTTAAGTATTACGTTTTTGTTGTCGTTGTTGCAGCAATAGTAGAGGACGGGCGCTTTTTTTTTTGTCAAGAGAAAGGGGGAAGGGCGTGCTGCCACTTTTTCGAGTTGGTATTATTTCTTTTTTTTTTTTAAGCTTTTATTTGTGCTGCCGGTGTTTAATGCATCTGTGCTTTTTTCGGCAGATTTCTTTGCGCTGTTTTATTTTATGTGTGTTGAATGTAACGTGCCTTTCTTGCATTCTTTTTTGACCCTGATGTAGCACTGAAATGACTGCTGAGAAGAGCCACACGCACAAGCAGGTGCAGACCTTCGGCAAGAAGAAGACGGCTATTGCTGTCGCTACGGTGACGAAGGCTGCGCAATGCAACATTCGCGTGAACGGCGTCCCTGTTTCCCAGATTCTCCCGGAGACGCTCCGTGCGAAGATTATGGAGGCCGTCAATGTGGTCGGTTCCCGCCACTTTGCTCGCCTGCGCATCGATGTAACAGTCCGTGGTGCTGGCCAGGTTGCCCAGGCCTATGCCACTCGCCAGGCCATCGCTAAGGGCCTCGTTGCGTACTACCAGAAGTACAAGAACGAGGTGGAGAAGGCTGCACTGAAGGACAAGTATCTTGCGTACGACAAGTATCTTCTCATTGCCGACCCACGCCGCTGCGAGCCAAAGAAATGGGGCCGTCACTCTGCCCGTACCCGCTTCACGAAGTCATACCGTTAATGGATTCAGCGTTATTTCTTTTTTGAGTGCAACCTTATTTTGTTTGCTTTTTTTTTTTTTTTTGAATTTAACAATTTGTACTTGTGGGCGTATGCCGTTTCTATTTTTTAGATGTGTGAGCAGGAAGGAGGATGGGGGAAGGGAGTTGTGTGTGTGTGCACCACGCTCCTTTGCCCCCTTTTTCTTCTTTTCTCTTCCCTTGTATTATTATTGCGCGTTTTGTGTGGAATCTCTTGCTGTGCTTCAACTCTCTTTGTTCTTTTCACCCGTTTTCTCTCTCGTTATTTTTGTATGTGTGTGTGTGTGTAAGTGTGTTTTCTTGTTTAGGCATTGCAGGTCAGCGCGACGAGGAGGAGGGAGGGCGAAGGAGAAGAGGGGGAGTGAACCAACAGGAAGAAGTGGAATTAGTATCATCCTTCCATTTCCGGAAAAGGGTGTAGAGCAGTAGAATTGTTTTTACGTCACATTTGAATAGAAATGCTACGCATTGTGTCATTGGGTTCGATTGTGGACGACCCGCGGTTTATTCATAGTAACAAACACGAGGCTATGCCGTATCCGGTAGGCTATACGATTGAGCGAGGCGTCTTTATCGGTGCTGGCGGAAACGCACTTGGTGAGAAGACAAAAGTGCTGTTTCCGGGTGATGAAGGTGCGGACGCGCATGTGGCTGACGTGTACTTCACGGCCTCGATCAAGAAAGGGCTGGATGGGGGTCCGCTTTTTGAGGTCATCCGCAGTGATCGACCAGACGTTGTCCACAGCGGCGATAATCCTTCCACTCCGTGGCGAAAGGCGTTTGATGCGGCCGCGCAGGACTTTTCGGAGAGGTTGGGGGAAATTGTGGGGGAGAAGCGTGACGCCAAGGGCGGCATGGTGGTGCGTGGACCAAGGTGGTTTGGGTTGACTCTCGATATCGTCTCAGCACGCCTCAAGACGCTGCCGGGTGCCAGTGTCGTGTTTCGCAACGGCAAGGATGCTTCACGGGGTGGAAAGAAAACACGAGAGGGTGGGGCCGCCACGGCAACGGCGGCCACGACCACAGAAAAAGGAAAGAAAGATTCACGGAAAAGGAGTTCTGCGGCAAGTTCACAGCAGGCTTTGTCACAGACCGATGCATTAGCTCCTTCGAAAAGGCGGCGTGTCACGAAGAAAGAGCAGAACGACGACAGTGACACCAATGCGATTATTGATGATGATGATGTCCCTCTCAACGTGTTAGTTACAGGAAGGATCAGTGGGTTGCATGAGCCGTGCCAGTTGTGCGGTCTCCGGACTTTGTTTTGCCCCATGACGGGTAAACCACACGGGGTGGCCAAGTCACAGAGAAGCAGTGAGGTCTCTGCGCAGGGGGAGGCCTCAGGCAAAAAAAGTCGGACACCGCTAAAGTCAAATGTGCCGTCGGGTACTGTCGTGACGGCATCGAATCGAGCGGGAAGAAAACGATTGCGTGACACCAATGGCGTTGACGCAGCGGATGCACCAACTGTTAAAAGGTCGAGAGGGAGTGCGAGTAAGCCGGCGACTCGACAAAAGGCGGTGAAAGTGGAAACCCCTTCTGCGTCTGCGGCATCAACACAGGGTGGTCAGAGGAGACGACTGGTACAGTTAAAATTGCCTGAGCAGGAAAGTAAGACAGAGTCCGTGGACCTGGAGGAGATGCCATTGACAGCACTTCTTGCAAGGAAAATGTTGACAGCGACTGGCTCCGCTAAAACGGTGCCGTCGTCACTTCCCACTTTACCATCACCAACACCGTCGCCATTCTGGAGACCCCCACTTGCGGAACCGGAGTCGCAGAAGGCATTGCGGGTTCTCCAGCGTCTTATTCGTGCGGAGGAAGTTATTCATGCACCGTTTGCCTCGTTGCTTCACCTCCCGTTAGCGGCTTCCGCGAAACCACGAACAGTGAAGAAGAAAAAGCAGGAGGGTGAAGATACCACAGTTGCGGAGGAGCCTGGGGAGGACGCTGGTAGTGTTATGGACGAGGGCAATTCTGCAGCAGCCACAATAGCGGAAAAAAAGAAGAATTTGGTTGAGGGAAAGGACCGCCATCCGCTGGATATTACAGATGTTGCTTTCAGCGTCGCAGGGAAGCGATACGTGAAATTCATGCAGTTATACACAAGCGAGAGGATGAAACTTGATTTATTGAAAAAGGCTGACGTGATCCAACCGGTTCAACGAAAGCGTGGGACCGAAAAAAAGCATACAGAAACGACCGAGGGGGTTGCTCTAGCTTCTTCTTCTTCTATTCATACAGATGAGGAAAATAATGAAGTAAAGCAGGAGCTGCAACAGAGTTAACGATCGAAGATACACGTTACGTAGAATGACAGAATACAAGAAGAATGAGGAAACAATGAGGGATGAAAAGGTGAGAGGAAGAGGAGGAGAAGGGGCGAAGAGAAAAAAAAAAAGAAAGGGACGGGGAATGATGTTGAGTTGTAGTCTTGAGGCAAACAATGATGCTAATATGAAGCAATTGGACATCTTTTTTTTCCTTTTTTTTTTTTTTTTTTTTTCTGGTCTCTGCGCATATGAGACATGTCTGGAACTGAGCAAGTGGCTCTCTCTCTGGCTGCCAATTGGCGCGTGGTGTACGAGTGGACTCTTTTTTTTTTTTTTTGTGTGTGTGTGTGTCTGTCTCTGTGAGTCTTTTGGGTTTTTTATTGAGACCGCATAATTGATGCGCACTTGTTGGTGAATTGGCAATGTCTCTTCAGTGCGTTTTTTTTTTTTCTTTTTCTTTTTCTTTTTTTGTTTTTTGGTCTCGTTGTGCTTTCTTTTTTGGGTGAGGGTGACGGGAGGGTGTGTGTGTGTGTGTGTGTGTGTGTTTTGATTTGTTTTTTTTTTTGTGTGGGTGGCTGTCGCATTCCTTTCACGCAAGAAGTCAAAAGGAATATAAATATTTATTTATTTATTATTTTGCAAGAATAAAAAGAAAAAAAGGAGAGAGTGGAAGGGATTTTTGTCGTTGAACGAGCACACAACGCGGCGCACATCAAGATGGCCCTATCGCGGACGTGGTGCCGCTTTGCCGTGACGACATACCGACAGTCGAAGGTAAGTGATCGTTTTCAGCTGTTGATCACAAAGAAGGAGGTGGAGTGTGACTATGTTGCCGTGGATGCGACGGCACTTGTCGCAATGGGACTGCGTCTTGCCAAAAATGTGACGACGGAGCAGCGACGACACAAGGAAGTGGCGCGCCACGTGGCACAAACGCTGCAGCAGCTGCTCAAGAAGGTGCGCTGCAAGAAGTCACTTCTTATCGCCATGGATGGTGCAGAGGCGCTGTTGAAGGCAGAACGCACGCGGACGAGTAGTCTGACGCGGAAAGTCGAAGGTCGTCTTATGCGTCTCCCGGGAACAGCCCTCATGCAGGCAGTGGAGGAGCGTCTGGTGCGCATGATGCCAGAACGGCAAATTGTGCCCGGGGAGGTTGTGTTCTCCGGCACATGTGTTCATGGATGTGTG